ATTTTATTCTGCATATCACATATTAATTAAACTAAATCCTATAATTTCATATCACAACAGTTAATAACAAATTAAATGTGTTTGGATATTGAAATATTATGTTAAAGAATGTTTTATCGTTCAAAATTTTTATAGATAGGTCTATGAACGAATCCTTAGATTTTGAAGTTTTGTGACTAGGTATTTGAAAAAGATTGTGCCTTAAATCAAGATTGTATTTATTGGATCTTTGAATACAGTTGTTGAATAGGTATTCAGGCAACTATTAGGTATTTACTTTCTGTAAGGCTCAATTATTTTTAAATGCTTGTTTTCCAAATAGATTGAAGTAATGGGGTCAAATTTTCCGACTAAATATATGAATCTAATACATGAGTTTATTTTTAAATGTTTCAGTATGATATGAGTAGTAGACTGGCATGCAATATTCTTTAATAGGGTGTATATTAATGTTGAAACAATTTTGCACTTGGTGTTAGAATTTAGAACATATTTAAATTAATATAGTGATTTCAGCTTCATATAACACAAACTAAGTTGTCTTGTAACATGGCTTTCAAAGTTCAGGTTTGTATAAATAATAAAAAAACACCCAGATTTCTTGCTGTTTCTTGCTGAGGTTACCTCAGTGAGGTATTTCTATAATATTTATATGTATGGTATTAAAATTATATTGTTTTTTATTTATCATATATACTGTACCAATATTTATTACAAGACCCTTTTTGGCATTTAACTGAAGTCTATGATTAACTGACCAAGCATTTACTTCTTTTAAGACTTTATTTATTTCGATAGTGGTTGTGTTAATTAATTTAGAGTAACGCAAAATCTTTTTTAAATTTAATAAAATCAAGCCAAGAGTTGCTAATTTTTTTTCATCAAATTTGGCGTCTTAATAAAATAATAAAAAAATCTTAGACTGGTACAGGCATTTGGTTTGTCTATGCAATAATACATGGGGTAACTTTTTGTTGCCATCGCAATTAAAATATATATAGAAAAATTTGGGCCCCCCAGGGCACCCTTAAATATTGGGCTAGAATGGCTATTTTTTTCGAAACATACTGTTAACATGAGGTTACTTTTTGTGGTTACCCCAATTAAAATATGAACAAAAAATATATTTTGGGCCTCCGGGGCACCCTTAAATTTTGGGCTAGTACGCTCATTTTTTTTTTTAGAATTACTGTTAATATAAGGTAACTTTTGTGGTTAATCCAATTAAATTATGATAAAAATAAATATTTTGGGCCTCCGAGGCACCCTTAAATATTGGGCTAGTACGCTCATTTTTTTTTCTAGAATTACTGTTAACATAAGGTAACTTTTTGTTCCCACCCCAGTCAAAACATACAAAAAAAAATATTTTGGGCCCCCGGGGGACCCTTAAATAATGGGCTATTACGCTACATTTTTTGTAATAAATTACTTTTAACATAAGGTAACTTTTTATTGCTACCCAAAAATAAATATCTCAAATATTTTTTTTTACGTTTTTCGGCCCACCCTAATGTCCAGTCTCCCTGAATTTCCGTTTAATTTTACTAACCGTAGGTCGAGCTGGATACTTTGCATTAAATAAATTGCAAACTTCTTGTTGTGTTCTAGTTTAATTACGACATTCCATAAGAATTAAAACTTCAATTCTCTGTCTTTCCGTTAAATGGCCCCTATTTAAATAAATTACTCAAAACGAATTAAGAACCACTTTTTAAAATACATGAATCTTTTTTACTTTTAAAGTAATCCTCGTATAAATTTATATGCTTGTAATAATATCATGTATACGGGTAATTCTACAAAAGTTGGGCAACTTTTGACCTCATTTTGTTTATATAGTTTTCGGAGAAAATTAAACAGTATATTGTTATGAGAACATAGATAATAATATTATAATATATATATTAGGGTGAGCCAAAAAAACTAACCTATCGGATTTATGGGTTAAAATGAACCTACATACCGAGCAAAAAATTTCCCTGCAAGGCAAAATTTTTTGCTCAATTTTAAGGTGTCGGTGAGCATTTTAAGTTTTCCATTGAAATAACACGTAAAAAAATCTTTTTTCATTAAAAAGACTATAACTTTTGAAACGTTTGAGATAAAATTTTTTACGTCGCGGATTCTTGTAGAGCATAAAATTTCCCAAAGAATCTATACCAGGATTATTTTTTTAATTCAAAAATTCGTATGTTTGAAAGCTTTGAAAAGTGTAAAAAATCACTAAAACTGCAGTTTTAGTTACTTTTTACACTTTTCAAAGCTTTCAAACATACGAATTTTTTAATTAAAAAAAATAATCCTGTTATAGATTCTTTGGGAAATTTTATGCTCTACAAGAAACACTTTTTATGCATTTTCCTTTTTTGTTAATAAAAGCAAAAGTAATCGTTAAAATATTTTTGTCTTGGGGTTTTTCGGTACAAAAATTACCAAAAAAATATAAATAACAAAATTACTCTTGGACAATTTTTAAGGTAATTTTTGTTTTTTGGCGAACCGTGATTAACATTGGACACAGGACTAACGGATAAAAGTGAGTACAAAGATTATCAATTTTTTAAAAATTGCTATTAAACGAATCTATAATAAAATATGAAAAATACATTATTTAATGTTTTATAGTTTGTAGTGAAATTGAAAAATTTAAGATAAATTGAATATTTTATAAAATAAAATCACTCAAATATTTGATTTAGGAGTTGTGACACGCCAAGGTACTGATGTTTTGAATAATTATAATTATTATGTTTTTCTACAAACGTGCTTTTGAAAAAATACATTAAATTTGGGTTAAGTTAAAAAACCTGGATCTTTTGTAATATAATAAAATATTTACAAATAATATTAAAATACTTACTCTATTGACTGATAACATCAAGTTGTCCAACTTTTCATGTAATTTTTTTTTTATTTTCATACCTTTTTGTAGAAATACGATTTATTTAAAAAACGCTTTATTTTAACATTTATTATAAGACATATTTCAGTCGCTGCTGTGCACTCTGATTAAATCAATAATTAATTATCATGAATGTTGATGCTTTAGGAAGGCTTATTCATCAAAAAAGGCATTTAAATCAAGTTAAAGTAGTGACAGCGGTTACTTTATTTCAAGAAGGAGAATTAGCTTTGGCTAAACTTCGCCCATTTTTTATTAATAAAGGCAATATTATTATTAGTATTATTATTATTATTATCTGTTAGAAGTATTGCCCGAACACTTCAAACAAGTCATTCGGAATTTCTCGACTTCTTAACGAGACCTTATCCGGCAAATCCACGTGAGAACCGTAATTTGGTAAGGTTAGCCACCCAAAACAGTGCCAGAACAGCAAGAAACATTGCTAATTTGCATTTTGGAAGACGAATATCCACTCAGACAGTTATAAATAGACTTCATGAAGCCCATCTTCGTTAGAAAGTCAGAGCTGTGAACCCGTTAACCCGTGCGCACCGGAGAGCTCGATTAAATTTTGCTCGAAATCATATCAATTGGGATATGGATAAGTGGGGACAGCATGTAGACGTAGAGGTGAGCGATATTTAGATTCAACTGTAACAGAAACTGTTTGTTTTGGAGGTGGCTCACTTATGGTCTGGGGAGGCATAACTTTAACGGGACGTACAGGTTTGCATTTTTCCGGATGGTCTGGTAAATGCTCATAGGTATTTGGAAGATATTGTAGAACCCTATAAAGTCACATTTGCAGTGGAAGAAGGTTCACAGTTTATTCTACAGCAGGATAATGCGAGACCCCACACTGCTCGTATTGGCACACAATATCTTGAAGATAATAATATCAAGGTTTTAGGGTGGCCTGAAAACTCTCCAGATTTAAATACTATTGAGCATCTCTGGGATGTTCTATAGAGAAGGATAAGAATTCGGCCGGCCCCGAAAAGTTTGAATCAACTGGGACAAATGCTTCAGGAGTGGAACAATATTCCCAGAGAAATTATTAGAAATTTGGTGGAATCTATGCCCAGACCATGTGAATAATTTAGGCTAGCCAGGGGAGGATACACACATTACTAATTTCGTTTTATATATTATTTTGAGTGTATTTAAAATAAATTGTGGAAAATCTAATTTTTTAGATTTTTAATTTTCTAAGCTTTTATTTTTTAAGAAATAGATAACGCATTTAAAAACCTTAATGTTTCCCAAAACTAACACTAGTTAGAAAATAAAAAAAATATGTTTATTTAAAAGTTATAAACAATTTTAAAAATTGTCCTCAATTCGTTTTGAGTAGTTTACTTCGAAATATTTGAACGCTTAAGAGACAGATACTTCACTAAACGCTCAACTAAAAGTTTTTACATCTATAGATCTTTAGTACTGAATATTTGTTTTAAATTATATGCTAACAAAGAAATATAATAATATATAAACATTCAATTTTCTGGTAATATTCATAAGAAAAAATTGAACCTTCACCTCGCCAAAGTTTTTTTTTTTGTTATGAATATTACCAGTAATGGGTCAAGAAAGTTTCTTAAAGAAACTAAGAAAATTTAATGTTTACCTTAATGTTTAGCCCGGTTGGGCTAATTCTAGATTCCTTTAGGCCATATTAGTATCTGTGATACAATTGCTGTGTGCAGTCCCGGTTGCATAGTATGTACCGATTGCGGCAAAGGCCACGTCGTTTGACGGTGTGGATCACCTGATGTTCTTACATCTCGCCTCTGTTGGCTTACCAACCGAGCATATAAGCTCTTTGTTTTGAGTGTGTTCCACCAAGTTGCCCGACACTGATGAGACCCAATATAGGTCGAAACAGCGGTCTGTCGGTATTTGAAGTTGGTGGAACACACTCAAACCAAAAAAAATTGGCGAGGTGTAGGTTCAATTGTTTCTTATAATAATATATCTCCGAAACTATGAATTTGTTCCATACTTTTGCCTGTCAATGTATGTCCCAGGTACATTGTCCACTAAAATAATTTCCAAAGCTTTTAGGTATGTTATATTAGAAAATTTGCGCTATATGCTACTGGATAAGAATCCAGAGAACCCGATATATTTTGGTTGCCATTTTAAAAAACATGTTAAACAGGGCTATATGAGCGGTGGAGCTGGATATGTATTGAGCCGACAAGCTTTAAAACAATTTATAGAGGTAATTTTACCCAAGCAGTTTTTGTCATTATAAACGACGAATTTGTGTTGTTTTTTTTAGAATGGTTTGAAAAAAACTACCCATTGCCATCCAGGTTTAAAAGGTGACGAAGATGTGGAGTTAGGAAGGTGCCTTGAGGCAGCACAAGTTAAGGTTGGAGACTCGAGAGATTCGCAAAAACGTGGAAGATATTTTGGGGTACATCCAAAAGAAATTCTAACACAACCATACCTCGTTGATGGGTGGTATAAGGAGTATTTATTTCATAGATTCCGCCAGGTGCGTACAGGACGTAACGGCGCCCGCAATACTTCGGAAACCCAGCAAACACTGTAATGACCCATTACATAGTTTTATGGCTTAATAATGGCATTTTTAGCCAAAGCTTTCCTTGTACTGGGCCTTTACAGAAATGTTTTAATAAATTAATTAATTTTGATAAAAGGCTGTCGTGATAAGGTCTTGCAATGACCCTTTTCAGGCTTATATTTAACCATAAAAGACCCAAAATACCAATCCATGACTATGCTTGGCTAAATCCAATATAAATGCACATGGAATGAATTGGTAATTCATAGCGCCAAACCCATTCCAACCAATTAAAACCAATTAATATTTTTAAATTTGGATTAGAAAATACCCACCAGTTTATTTTTCATTCAAAAATAATTTTAGATCCCAGAAGGATAACCGGGTAAAAACCAGAATTCATTTTTCACAGAAGAGATAAAAAATTTATTTTTACTGAGTAGGTACTTTTTTTTCTTTATTATTTTTTTTGATATATGTATGTATTGATATATGTATGTATTGATAGTAAGGTATATAAAGGGTGTCCACTTAAAAGTGCTCTAACTTTAAAATGAAATAAAACAAACTACACTTAAGATATTAGGAAAAAAATATATTTATTTAAAAGAACATCCTATGGCATTAATTATGAAAAATAACATCTTTCAAATGCCCCCCGCGGCTGCGCTCCACAGCGCGCATTCTGCATGTCAAATTTTCTATCACTTTTTCGCACATTTCGGGTTCGATTTCATTTATTATACGAGTAATGTTGGCCTTCAGTGCTTCAATTGTTCGTGGCTTATTCACGTACACAAGGGACTTTACGTAGCCCCACAAAAAAAGTCCAGCGGCGTTAGATCGCATGATCTCGTTGGCCACGCCACGTTCGTCTTAAAAAAAGTACGGGCCAATAACACCAGCCGCCCAGAATGCGCACCACACTGTCACTTTTTCCGGATGCATGGCAATCTCTTGGGTAACCCAAGTTGGGTTACTTGAGGGTTCTGATCGCTCCAAATTCGGCAGTTGAATCTTGTATGGATAAAATTTTAGGTCCCGACGCAGAATAGTCGAAGTTGAACTCTTCGAAATGCCAGCTTCTTGCGCACGTCGACGAATCGGATTCTCAAGCAAGCTCATGAACAACGGCAATATTTTCAATTGTTCTGACCGTTCGTTGACGTATGGGTGTTGCTTGGTCGCGCACTGAACCAGTTTTATTTATTTATGAGGCGGCGAATAGTTGACTCTGCAGGACGTTCATGCTGACCATAAATCGCACGCAATGCTCAAAACGTTTGGCGAATTAAACATTGATTTTGTTGGTAAATTTGAATAATTTGAATGCGTTGAGCAACCGTGTAAAGCTTAATTTTCATGTAACCGTTTGTCCGTCAGTCCGTTCATCCGGGAGCGCTCTTATTGGTCCAATTATAATTCGAAAATTATGACATTTTATCGGTCCGTCAAGTTTCAACTTCGTACGTCTGACAGAGAAAGGTTAAATAATTTTAACTCATCCGTCACTACACATTTGTTTTTGACGCCTAACGTTATTTTAAGATAATTTATTTTCAAATATTTTTATATTTTTTCAGTAAGATTGTAAACGGAAATATTACGTTCGTTATGTGAATAATGTTTTACTGTTAAGTTTTTATTTAATAAGAATAACAGAAAAAAAGAAAGGACAAACAAAAAATTAAAACTAGAACTAAAAGGACCTGCTTTTTTAAAACTATACATTTTAATGTATATTAGGGCTATTATATTCTTTTTATAAGGTATATTTACCTACCTTTAAATTTATTAGACAGCTAACTGTTAAAGTTACAATTGTTGACATAATTGTAACTATGACAATTAGGCATTTGGTAAATTTAGTAAGTGAATATACTGACACTTAATTTCTATTTGTCGCAAAATCAATCCGTTAAACGTCATTAAAAAACGTATGCATGAAAATTAGAACATTTCTTATCGGACGATTTTATTGAAAAACTGACATACGGATGACGGACAAACGGATACATGAAAATTACGCTCCATTATCAAATGTCATTATATGCCAACAAAATTTCAAAATATTTGACAGCTGTGTCTGTACTGACTTAGTCATAGCCGCCTATCAAACATCGAGCGTACAGTCGAGTGCAATAAGTCAGTACCAAGTAGAGGTGTGTTGCGATTTCGCAAACTGCTACTTTGTCACTGCTCCGGTGGCGTCGCAATCGCAAACTGCTCCGCGGCAATAAAAATCGCAGCGACATTTCGGAGCAATTTAAAATTTAAATTGCTCCGAAATTTTAATTATACCAGGCCGTCGCTGTTGCTCTCTTCAGCAGCAGTCAGACCTATTCGACTTTATGCTGTCCTAATACTTACGGGCATTTAAAATCTTATTTATACGGGCGTTTAAAAAACTATTTTAAATTTTTTTGTTCTATTTTTGCCAGTAATGGCAGGTTTGCCTGCGGCCGAAAATACTATGTTAAATAATATGTTAAATTATTGTGATAAATAGCAATTTACGGTTTTATCGTTATTATTTAATATTTAATACTTTTTAATATCAGTGAAAAAACACCATTCGTAAAATATCGCTGAGTGAAAAATCACAGATCACGCTAATTAATAGATGTAAGTAGCAGTCGTTATTCGTGATTTTTCGTGAAATATCTCTAGTTGCTTCGCCGTTCGCACTTTCGCCAGTGTTTTGCTTTTACCGTGGCACTGCTCTGGAGCATCGCAAATCGCATTGCTTCGAAAAATCGCTGCTTTTTGTCACAGTGTTCCGGCCGGAGCAGTCGCATTGCATCGCAGCTCTTGAAAAATCGCAAACCGGCCCACCTCTAGTACCAAGGCAATTCAAAAATCGCTTGCGATGCTCAGTCATAGCTCCGCCTACTCTAGTATCCTAACCACTTAATTTATTCTGTCTTAACCAAGGTCACACGTTTTTGTATGAGGAAGGGCAAAATATATCGCAAATATCAAGAGAATTGAATATTTCGGACCGAAATTTTCGGTAAGAAAGATAAATTAATAGGAAATACCGTAAAACGGGGCGACTTGAAACTCTTTGCAGCGCTTGACCAAAATACAGGCTACTATCTAGGGGTTAAAAATTGAATATCAAAATATAGCTATAAAATATAACAGTTCGATTAATTTATATCTGTTGATTTTATTGTGCACCTACATAAAAAAAAATATTTTTTTAAAACACTTTCTTTTATACAGAGATTCCTAAAAAGGCTTTAATAATGACATATTTTTTCCTGGACAGTAATATTCTAACGGTTAGAATCTAATCCCAAAATTTTATATTCATGTCAAATTTATTAGTGGCGTTTTATTTTATTTTTTTTTATTTCAGGGGCGACTTAACATATAAAAGAAAGCCAGGGTCGAAACTTAAGAGACTCAAGTGAAGAATATAAAATTGCGTTTAAACTTTATATAGAAAAAATAAAGGGAAGCACACAAAATTATTTGTTGGTCAAACCAAACAGTAAACTGTTTTTCCTAAAAAAAAACTATTTTTCTTAAAAAAAAACGATTTTTGTAGCAGGATATATAAAATATGATATTCTATCTTTCAAGTCGCCCCAATATTTTTCTACAAATACAATGTTAATGCGCCCCAGCCTGGGACGACTTAAATAAACACCCGTTATATATAAATATATATATTTTTTCTTGAGAGTAGAGGGGGGTATAATTTTTTAGGTATTTCACCCGGTAGCCACTACCCCAAAGTAATCTAAAATATTATTTTATTTCAATCAAATCGCCATAGTGATGGCGGCGTGTGCTCAAATATTCCAAAAAGTGTATCAAGTCGCCCCGTTTTATGGTACTAAATTATTTATTCTATATTTTTTAATTTATTAATTATAAATATTTTATTCAATTTTTTTATATTTTTTAACGCTTATATTTTTTAATTTTTTAGAGGGTGTGCGTGCGTAGGTGGGTAACAAATTTTAGATTATATCTATATTATTATATTGCGAATAAGTTTATTGACACTTGTTTAATAAAAATTAGTAGTATTTTATGCCAAAAAGCCTATGTTTAACTTTAAAAAAGTCTAAATTATGTATTATCTATTGATATTGATAAAATTTAAAAAAAAATATTATTACAAAAATAACGTCAAAACTCATCAAAATAAATATGAAACAATAAATCTTATACCGGTTCAGGTAAGAAATACCCAAATAAGTTTGTTTACGTTAAGGCAATAATTTTCACCCCACCACCTCGCAATGGCTGCAAGCGAATATAAGCCTTAGGGTGGTACTGATTCAATGCACTTGACTGTACCTAATTGGACACCCTTTATATATATCTTAGTAGTAATAAAAAATAAATAAAATTCCTCGGTTATAACCATTTTTTTGTCTTCTCTTGCAAAGGATGTTTGTAGGCATGGTCGAAGTCGATATTGTTTATGTCAATTTTTTTTATTTTATCCGCTGTGACAACCATTCTTACGCCATCGTCCTTACACATATAAACATTTTTTTAAGATATAAGTACACTACTATCACTAGGCATTTAACACAGAAATCGACTAATAAAAAAAACCGCTAATAAATGGCGTCCAAAGACATTGTGTTGTTTTTTCTTTATGATGGAGTCTCAACCTCGTTGGTTTTGCGCAGCTACACGAGAGCCCTATTGCGATATTTGTATTGTATTGGGAATAACCATACCGAAAAAAATAATGTAGTTGAGTTAACGTTTGCCTAAATGTCATTTTTGAAAATGTTGTTTTATCAAAAAAACCTATTGGATTAATCTATATTTTAGTGTAAAAGCAATAGTAAGAGTTTTTCAAAGTTTATTTGTTCATTTGACAGTTAAAATATGGATTTTACATAAACTAATTTTTTGAATTAAAATGTTTATCCTATTTTGATTTAATAGCTGGAATTGGTTGAATCAAATACTGAAATTTTTAGGATTACCTAAAAAAACTATTAAATTAACGTTTAGTTGCTCTTTAAATCCAGAACATTAAATTTGTTCATTTAACAAATTGTAAATGTTACTTTAAAATTTGTTAATTTTGCATTCATAAAATTGCCGCGAAGGGCGCTTCGAACACCCACGCCTCAGTTGGCTTACGATAGGCGTATATAAGCTCAGGTAGCCGTTTGTTTTGGGTGTGTTCCACAGTGGAACTTCCACTACACCAAATTGCCCGACACTGATAAGACCCCCAATATAGGTCGAATCAGCTGTCTGTCCGACAAACTCTGTCGGTAGGTATTTGAAGGTAATTGAAGTCTTCAAATACCTTTGTGCGTTCCACCCCTTCCCCACCCGCTAAAAAACAGTAGAATCCTAATTGGATTTTTCCATATTTTAAAGTATTGGGAATAACCAATTAGCAGATTCCTTTTTCGAATCTTACTCTGGAAATGCCCAATTGAATTTAATTGGAAATTACCCATGGGTAGCTTTATCCAATCGAACCAATAAAAAACATTAGAATCCTAATTGGACTTTTCCATCATAGAAAATACCAGTAAAAACCAATTTCTGTTTTATATCGCGCCCAATTCAATCCAGTAAGTCCAATTCAGACCCATTGATACCAACCAATACTTCAATTGGTTTCTACAGGAATTAATCGGTCATTTACAACAGGGTAACGCCATATTTAAAAAAATATCGCCCATTCTAATTCCCATAGTTTTAATGTGTAATATGGTTTTTAAATTTTTTTTGTGTTATATGGTTGTTAAATTTAAATGAGTAAGAAGGTGCATTTTTAATTTTACAAATTTTAATTAAAACTCTTATTATAGACAAAGTACAGCCAAATAATTTAGTAGAAAGGTTTATTTGATAAGGTCAAATTGGGGCAATTGCGAATAAAATAAATTAATAACGGCAAAGAAAACCTGTTTTTTTGTTATGGAGGATAATCTACCAAAAAAATCAAGTGAGCCTATTTGTAAATACATATTTTAATTTTAAATATTTTCCTATTTAGTTTAAGGATTTTTTATTTAAATAAATATTATGGATCCCATTTATTACCTAGCACTGATTCAACCCATGAACTAGTGCACATCTGAGATTTTTTCAGATTCTGTATCTGCATGACCTAGAATTATTTTAACAATAAAAATTAAAATCTACGGCGGAGCCGTTTTTGACAAATTTACTTTTGAATTTTTTTTTGCCAAATGTAGAAAAATAAATACAAATATTTCAATAAACGTTTCAAAAAATTAATTTGAGGTGACCTTACATATTTATCAACTAAAAGTCTTCATAATATATAAAAACTTTTAATTACTAACTACAATAACCTTTTATTTTATTGAAAAAAAAACGGTAACAATTGAATTTTCCTTATGCGCGCGCATCATATCTGACTCACTGGTCAAGCGAGTATATGTATCTTGAGCGAGTCTAATCAACTTAAGTCAGATTTCTTATTAGTAATTAATTATCCCGCTTTGCGCGGGCGTGTAGTCCTTTTACCGCAAAATGTCTAAATATCATGCGCATAGTGTTAATAGATTTAAATTTTTTGTTTTGTTTTATAGAAAAAAACTGTTTCCAATTAAATACTAATTAAAACTTGTTAAGCCTATTTGCGGATTATGATGTTGAGAAAGAAAGTTTGCCTGCAGCCTTATGTAGTTCCTGCAAGATTAAAATATATAAAGCATAACATGATTCTGGGAGAATGGAACTGAAGCTACCCATTTTGTCTGATGATGAGAAACAAAAGAGAGCTACACGATCCGAAGATGTTACAAAATGTTACAAACTGTGTCAAATCGCTCTAGCCGTACCGGCAAATATTGCTCAAGCAACATGTGATTTTATACCAGAACAACACAAAAAAGAAATAGTTGTTTCTTCGTCGGTGGAAAAACGGTGTAGTGTCTGTTGTACTATTCTGCCCTAGTAAGCCAAACCCCCGTATGTACAATATTGAGTTATAAGGGACAAAAGATCATTTTCATTATTCAAAACAATAAAAATTATCTGTTGTCCTTTATTACTGAATATTGCGAATACGGGGGTTTGGCTTAGCACGGCAGTATTCTAGCAAGAGGAAAACAACATGTTTGCAACAAAGTTTCTCGAGTGCAGAATATGTCTGGATACTTGTCAACCCTGGATGAAAAATCTCAAAGCCAGGTAATTTAAAGTGCCCTTAAACGTAAAGTAAGCGACGTCGCTTACCTGGTTTGAGATTTTTCATTCAGGGTTGACAAGTATCCAGAAATATTCTGCACTCGAGAAACTTTGTTGCAAAAATGTTGTTTTCCTCTTGCTAGAATAGTACTACAGACACTACACCGTTTTTCCACCGACTAAGAAACAACCAATTCTTTTTTGTGCTGATAAATATGTAAGATCACCTCAGAAAAAAAATATCAAAAGTAAATTCCTCAAAAACGGCTCCGCCGAAGATTTTAATTTTTTTTGTTAAAATAATTATGGGTCATGCAGATACAGAATTTGAAAAAATCTCAGATGTGCAGAAGTTCATGGGTTGAATCAGTGCTAAGCACACCGTGCTAATTACAGTTTTTAAAATAAAATTTTTATGTTTTACTTTTATAGGTCTTGTAATAAACATTGCTTTTTATTTTTTCTTGTAAATTTATGTTTTAGTATTATACATTTGACGATAATACATTAATTAATGTAATGGATAAGCTAAGTATTTATTATGGTGGATAAAATGTGGTTTGTTTATATTTATTGGGTCGGATATTCCACAAGAATCGGAATTTTTTATACCGACCGTCAGAAATTGTATTGTGAAGGTAGGGATAACAATTTCTGATTATCGTTGAATATCCTTATCTAATAAATATATACCTACCACATTTAATCCACCATAATAAATACTTCACTTATTCATTAAAAGTTATTTAAATAACCACTACAGAATTTTTAACACCCCATATCAGAAATTTTAGCTTGCCACATTTGTACCTTTAATCTGCCATATCAGAACCTTTAGCGCGCCATATCAAAAAATGGAATGGTTCTTGTAAGTGCCTTTATTGACTGCCGTTACATGCCCATTAAAGGTGAACGCGACAATTATTTTGCGTATTAATGTACAGTTCCATTAGAGTTAGCCTTTATATGGACTTTAGTTCATTAAAGACATATATAAAGGGCCATTATAGAACCTTTCCCTGATAGCAAAATTTGATTTTAAAAATCTTCTAAGAAGATATGACTCGAAATATTCTTAGAACCTTCCCTTATTGCTAAGAATGTTCTTAGGGACTTTTAAAACATTCAATAGATACCCTTTTAATGTTGCAATTAGATTCTTAAAAGCTTCTTAAAACCTTCCTAAAAAGCATCCTAAGAACATTTTAAGAATACGTTTTTGAAATGTTCTTAGAAGGTTTCTTATGGAGCTTCTAGGAAGTTTTTAAGAATATTTTCAAATATGTTTTATTCAGATTTCAGATTATTATATTTCAGATTATTCAGATTTATGTTTTTTATTCAGATACCCACGTTCTAATATGTTGTATTCTACATTCGTAAAATTCTTTAGGAGACGACAAATACGCCTCACTGTCATAATATGACAGTGAAATGTATTTCGTCACCCTTATATAACAAGGTTGTATGTTAAAAAAAACGAAAAATGTAAGTTTATGTTTCTACATGATTATACGTGGCCTACGCTTCACATACCACTTAAAACCAATTCTATACAATGTATATTTTATGTATACATATATATAGAGTTATTTTCAGGTTGTATATCAAGGGTGGATTACATAAAACCTTGTAGAAGCATAAACTCAAATTTTTCGGTTTTTTAACATACAACCTTGTTATATTATGGTGACGATTTGTCGTCCCCTTAAAAAAGTTTGCGACATATTAATATGTATTTATTTAAAAATATTAAATAAACAATTTGAACTCTAAACCATAATAATTGCAATTCTGCAATTCGGATCGCAGTCCGGTCAATGCATTATAATTGAGGAAATGTACGAATTTAGTAATTACACAATAAGCATAAAAATAGCTAATAAATATTTTAATATAAATAAAAAGAATTAATAGATATTTTACGAAGTTCGTACATTACATTCTTAGTGTTTAATACTAATTACTAATTAGGTACTTAAGTATAGGTATATACCTTTATACGTACTTTATGGTATATTTTACTATTATATAGGTAACTGAACTAAATATGCTTAACAGAAATATTCCTAAATGAACTTTCTATAGCAATTACTTTTTTAACATTTTAAGCATATGTTAGAGTAGACTAATTTTTATCACTAAAACTTTGCACCTTCTAAGAACCTGCCTATAGACCAGTAAGAATATTCTTAGGATCATGCTATATGTCTTTTAAGTATGTTCTTTAGAAGAAATATAGCATGATCCTAAGAATATTCTCACTGGAAGGTTTAAAAAACATTCTTAGAATAAAGTGTGCTATCAGGGTTACGGTTGTGTTTGCTGGGAATATTTATTTGTGACGTCTTCAAGATTCTAAAACCATTTTTTTAGGGAATGGAAGGAATATCTGATTACGCAGTTTCTTTTCACCATGTGGAAGTGGTGGACATGTATTTTTTTGAATACTTAATTTATCATTTAAGACCATTTGGGATATACGATATACCACAAAATGTTAGCTATTATCTGAACTGAAGTTTTTTATTAAAATTAAGTTAATCTTATTTAAATTGAATTGTATTAAATAAATAATTAAACTGTTTTTTTCTAGTTCCAATTAATAACATTCCGTTAACTATGGCACGCCGCACTGTGGGCCAGGATTCTGTAAAACATTGAAAAATATCAAACTCAACAAATGTATCAAATTTTATAATGTAATTATCAAAAACAAAGAAAAATAAGTTAATTTCACTTATAAACAGCTTCTCAGACAATGAAATATTGTTAGACCAGAGTAAAATTTAACAATATTTGGCTATTTTGCAAACTTTACCCACCAGGGCGAAATTGTAAAACTTATTGAAGATCTTGTGTTTTGTAATAGAAGATATAGGATGTCATAATGGAAATAATGTCACAAATAGAACTTTAAGAGCCTATATATCTATATATTATTTATTTTTCAACAGTTTTTAAAAAATAATATAGATTTTCATAGACATCTTATGGCCCCAATAAAATCGAAACAAAGCTTGAAAAAGCTGAGTTATGCAAAAAAATTATTTAAAATGTTATATTTTAAATTTAAAAAAATCGATACAAAGCCGAAGGTATAAGATTGAAAAAGCTGAGTTATGGAAAAACATTATTTACCCATTTGTTTGCGACTCACCCCTGTAAAATCTTTATTTATTGTGCGATTTTAACCGGATTTTTTTTTTAAGTGTAGATATTGATAAACTGTATTTTTGGAGCAAAAAACGACATACTTTTACAAAATACAAGGCCTACTATGTCAGTTTTTAAGAGTAAATTTTTAAGAATTTATATAAGTGATTTTTTTAAACAAAATCTAAGCACGGCACTGGATTCACCACCCCTCGAAACGACCTTATACTAAATTTTATTGAAAAATGTTAAGTATAAAAATGCATAATATTAACTACAAAAATTTATTCTGTCAAGTTATCCATGAAAATAACATTGAAATAAAATTAAACTTATAGTAATAGTGCCATGTGGTGAATCCAGTGCCGTGTTTAGATTTTGTTTAAAAAACTTGCTAATATGAATTCCTAAAAATTTACTCTTAAAAATTGTCATAGTAGGCCTTGTATTTTGTACAAATATGGCATTTTTTGCTCCAAAAATATAGTTTATCAAGATCTACACCTTAAAACAAATCCGGTTAAAATCGCACAATAAATAAATATTTTACAGGATTGAGTCGCAAACAAATGGGTTGGGTTGGGTTGGGGAAAATTTTCTTATGTATATTAAAAAAATCTCAACTATTTTGATTTTTAATAATAAATGTTTCTTGTTTTCAGGGTATTTTAAAATTACTGCCAATTTATAGGTTCCACAGCTCAAACGATTAAACAAAAAAAAATTAAAAATCAATTAAAAGCACTAAAATTGCCTTAAATATATCATTTCGAAAAAAAAGTCAAAACTTTCAAAATGACAGATCACATATTCAAAAAGTCTTTTACAATCTGGGCCTAATAACCTTTCAACTAATACCCGAATAGAGCTTTATTTTGAATCAAATTGTAAAATACCACACAGAAAATTTTGCGTTTTCTCCTGGATAGGCAAAATTCGGCAAAAGTTTTTTTTTCGATAATAAAGCTTAAGTACTGGAGAGTTTAAGAGCATCAACAAAAACGTGTACTTCACTGTCGATCTTGATATATATCTGGTGAAATATCCATGTGATATGTTAATTTTTGCTTTTACATGCGTTCACTAAATCATTATTTTTTTTTTGTAAATTCGCAAAGAAATCCATAAAATTTAAATGGTATAAAACCTTGAACTTGCCTGCATCTGGCCCACTCATAGTTTCTGTCAAAAAGTTAATCCACCTTAAACTGTAATGTCTTAAACTTAAGCGATTTGTTTAAACAAAATAAACCAGACAATAAGTATTAAATTTACCGACATTTGTCAAACCCGCGTGTGTCAACATAAAAACTCACGGACATATTTCTGGTGTTTTTGTAAGCTTAATGGTCTACTTGACCGTTTTTAGCATAAAAAAACTTGTTGTTCCATGATTATTAAAAATTGACTTTTTCAATGTTTAGAGAATTTCTGGCCCACAGTGCGCCGTTTTAACATTTATTAAATAATTTTTAATTACAAATTTTATTGGTTTAAAATTTTCCTAATATCAGTAGTATCAGTACCCAGTGAACCAAACCGTGACTTATGACCTAAAATTTACGTAACACGTAGATCATATCTAGGTAATACAATTTTTACGTCATAGTGACATAATACTGACCCAAAACGTGACTTTTATATGATGTAATTAAATGACTTACATATTACGTACATCTTATGTAATATTAAAGTCATATCGTGACGTAATATTAAAGTCACTTTTCTTACGTAAGACTGACATAAGAAATCTGTCATAATATTACATAACTTTTAGGTCACTGTCTTACGTAAGACTGACGTAATAAATCTGTCATAATATTACCTAAGTGTAAGGTCACTTTCTTACGTAAGGCTGACGTAAGAAATACGTCATACTATTACATACGTTTTAGGTCACTTTCTTACGTAAGACTGACGTAAGAAATCTGTCATACCATTACATAAGTTTAAGGTCACTTTGTAAGGTAAGACTGACATAAGAAATCTGCCATACATATTATTTAGACGAACTAGATGCAAAAGTAATTTCAAAGTATGAAATTCACTGTATTTTAATGTTTGAATTAAACTAATTTCAATGAATGGACTTTTATTTTCAATGAGTGAAATAGTCAAACATAATTTTTATTTTTTATTGATTGAAATGGTTAATTCAAACATTGAGTAAAATAACGTAAGTAAATTCTATTAATTGAAATTGACGCCGATTATTTTAAACAATAAAATCAGTGGATATATCCAGTATACTTTTCCTTACCAATGAGTTTAATTCAAACATTAAAATACACCAAATTTCATATTTTAAAACATGGGCGCCGCTACATAGGGGCAGGGGGGGGCCCGGGCCCCCCCCTGGAAATTCATACCCAGAAATTCCAGTACTCCATAATTTGTATAATATTATAAATAACCATAATACCTAATAGGCGTGTTGCAAAACAAAAAATAAGACGTGTTACACACAAAAATTGCTTATAATTATCCTGTTATTACTACTCTGTCATGCTATAGCATAACACCTATTCTGCCGTGATTAATGAAAACGCCGTAACCAACAATTGTGCGATTTTTGTTTTACGGCATTTTCTACTAGAAAAATTCATCCTGCGTCTATCCCCGGTACTCAAAAAACCGTATCTATATATATACGGTTTTTTGAGTACCGGGGATAGACGCAGGATGAATTTTTCTAGAAGAAAATACCGTAAAACAAAAATCGCACAATTGTTGGTTACGGCGTTTTCATTAAGCACGGCAGTATTACCTAAAAAAGTCGCTACAGTGCAACCACATTTTTTTAAGTTTTTGTTATTGTTATATAACAATAACAAAAACTTAAAGAAATGTGGTTGCACTGTAGCGACTTTTTTAGGTAATACTGCCGTGCTTAATGAAAACGCCGTAACCAACAATTGTGTAACTTATTTTTAAAATATTACTCATGTTTGTATTTAATTTTTTTGTTATATTTTAATTTATCATAATTTGTATAGCGTATACATAAGACGGCTGTACTACTAGAGGAGATTCCTCGGCGATACAATTTTTTTATATTTATATATTTACCAAAAAACTGTGATGTATTTTTTGCAATATGTACCTACCAATATAAATAAATAGGTAAATATACATATAAAGATGATATTTTATTTGACTTAAGTTTAATGTGAACTTCTACAGTACAACTTGATTATAAATAACATCTATCAAAATTGTAAAAAACTTTAAGGCCCCCCCCTAGACGAATTCCTTCCGGCGCCCATGTTTTAAAATTACTTTTGCATCTAGCATGATGAAAGAAATAACGCGAAGTTCCTTGAATTTTTTGGCTACTTATAAGTAGCCAAAAAATATAGTACTTGGTCGATTAAATGAAAATATGGTTTAAAACCAATCAAAAAATAATGTATCTTAATTTAATATGTAATAACCATCATAATATATTATAGATTTTTATGATTCCGGTTCCTACTGCTTTATGACGTAAAAAATTTTGAAAATAGCGTCGTACTTTCAAAAGTACACATTTTATTCAATGGTCATGTGAAAAATCATGTAGGTATGATTAATCATGGTTGCAAGTACTTGCAAGTACCTACTTATTTTTTAAATTGTAAAAAATTATCAACAAAAGATTTACGTGTTATTACGTGTTAACTTGTTATTTTTGTATTGTATGTTACTGTTATTATTTTTTGAAAATGGCGCTTTTGGTGAAAGTGGAATTTTTTTGTTCCACCCTGTACAATCGAAAAAATAAGTAGTTACGCTTTCAAAGACCTGAAATGATATTTCACTCACTTCAAATTTTTTTAAATGTGACCTTGGCAGTACGACGTCATTTGTTTTTTTTAAATCCATGCATGTCAAAAAATGTTAGGTACCTATTAAAATACTAAAATTTTAAATTTCTAAAATAAAAATAATTTTTAAATGTTGAATATTGTCCCTAGCTATAGCTATAGCTACTCATAAAAAGCGATTTTTTTTTGTTCTTACTTCTGACATACCCTGTAAAGAATCTGAAAAATTAGTAGTTGGTTCAAAATCCATTGTGAGTTGGTTTTGATCAGCTTCATAAATTAGATAAAGTATCAGCTTGCAATAAATACCTTTTCGGTAATGATTCCATTTCCCATTGAAAAAAATGTGACCTTTTGACAGTACGACGCCATTTTAGAAATTTTTCAAAATTGCTTTAAGTCTAAAAGTAGTACCCAGAGTACCCTTGTCTCTGGTAGTACCTATATATTTAATGCCTTGTTTAACATACTAAAATTTCAATTTCCAAATACAGAGGTTCAAAAAATAAAACTATAAAAAATAATACAACCAAATTTAAAGAATTTAATATTATAATA